GGCAGGAGTTCACAACAGGTATAGGCTGCCACTTCTGGTTACCTCGTCTCGTATGGTTCCTCATTCTTAGTGTAGCCCCAACTGGTTGGAGGAGGCAGTTCAGGTGCTGGTATCAGTGTTTGACCACACACGACCTCCCTGGTAGTCTGCCCTCTTGACCACCTTCAAACTGCCCTAGTTTGGGTAGTCAGCTGCACATAGTTCATCTTCGCAGTTTTTTTTTTCGTGTCTTAATTTCTATATACTGGTTTTTGTATTCAGTCTGTGGTATCCCCCATTAGACATAGCGGGATAACATATGAGTCTCATGAATGAACTCTTCCAGGTTACTGTTCCTTATCTGACAGCCAGTGTAAAAACGCGAAAAAAGTTCCACATCGTTCTTCAGAGAAACTAGTTGCTGCTTTCCTTTCTATTGGCATTTCTGCGAGAGGAAACACTGAAGATTTTCAGCTTGGTTCTATGACTGACATCGTCAGTAGACTTTCAACACGATACTCTTTGATCTGCGCTTAGCTAGTATTCTTCACACGCTGCACAGCCTTAACTATTGCATGAACTGCAATCTTATGTGTCTAGGGCATCCAGATCCATACTGTAATGTTCGTGGTAATTACTTGCAGCACCATCACTATCACAAAGAACAGTAACATGACAACAGTGACTAAAACATCAATCCATCTCTTTCTCACCGAGAGGCTCCTATGTGGATGGTATATGTGCTGGGGGAAGTGGGGACTGCGGGTGTGGAGAATGGTTTGTTTTGAGTTGTGCTTGGGTGGGAGGGACGGTTAGGGGTTGGGCAGTTCTGTGGGTGGTTGTGTTTTGGGCCTCTGGAGGCTTGAGCTTCCATGCCTACCGATGTATGCCTTGTCCCTCTTTCCTGCTCCTGGCAGGAATAGAATTAGTCTAGGGTTGTAACACATTTAAATATAATTAGCTTTTATTTCCACTCTGTAACTACAGTGCCCTAACCGTGGTTCCCCGCTTCATGATTCTGCCTAGTACCATTACTGTCGTGAGGGGCAATTTGACTGGGCATCTTCGCCCCCTCCCCCAAGTATCGCTCAAGCCTTTGAAAATTTATCTTGGACATACCCTTCATGCCCATTAGTGACGATATCATTAATCTCCATTTCGTCCACCTGTCGCATTCTCACAAGTCCTTCAGCCTTCTGTAGCCTGTGAATAATCAGTGACCTCTCTCCTCTTCCCATTTCCTGTCACTCAGTATCTCTGTATCCAGTTTAAGCAACTAATTTACTGAAAATGGTATAAAATACCGACAGGTTGATGAGTAAGACGCATGTGCAACAGTTGAGTATTTTATTTTTCAAACAATACATTCTCCTCTGTATTTGACTGATGAAGCCTACCATGTAGGGAAAATATTTCAACAGTAATGCTACCCAACTGTTGCACGTGTCTTACTCAACTAATTTACTGTTAATCTTCTGAAGCTCCCGGTTGTCTGGTAGTATCTCAGTGAAGGTCTTCTTAACTCCTCCTTTTCCTTCAGTCAGTACTGTTCCTGCTCCCATCTCATTGCCCCATTCCTTCCTCAGCTTCATTTCCCACTTCAGTTCCTTCCTCAGGCTTTGTGCCTTTGCTGTCTGCAGACACCTTCTCCTCCATCGCTTTGTAAAACCCACTAAGCCTTTTTTTCCCACTCTTGTTCCATTATACACCTGAGCCTTGCTGCCCATACTTCCTTCTCAGACTATTCTTCCTCTCATTCCTGTGTTCCTTTGGCTTCCTAGTTAGAATATGCTGACTTCCTTGGATTGCAACAGGTGGAAGACCATCAGTCCCTGCCTTTTCTGTGTTTAGACGGCTGTGTATGCTTGTGTTTGAGAGCATGTGTGTGTGTGTGTGTGTGTGTGTGTGTGTGTGTGTGTGTGTGTGTGTGTGTGTGTGTGTGTGTGCGCGTGCGCGCGCACATGTGTGTGTGTGTGTACAATTTTTTGTGCATATGTGTATGATTGTGTGTTTGTACCACCTGTGTTCTTATCTATAATTGGTTACAAAGGTCGAGTCAAAACTCTTGGCCCCACCTCTCCACTGTTTGCTACTAGGATGTGTGTGTCTTCGCGTGTGTTTGTGTGCATGCTCAAGTGTGTGTATATGAACTTGCATGTGTGTGTTTGTGTGTGTATAAATAACAAAAAAAAGGCACAATACCGTGACTGGAACGATACATAAATGACTAACACATAGAAGAGAAGAGATTCCGACGACGTTTTGGTCCGACTTGGACCATTTACAAAGTCACACAGTGTGACTTTGTAAATGGTCAAAGTCGGACCGAAACGTCGTCGTAATCTCCTCTCTTCTGTGTGTGGTGTGTGTGTGTGTGTGTGTGTGTGTGTGTGTGTGTGTGTGTGTGTGTGTGTGTGTGTGTGTGTGTACTAGTGTACACGAACCTTTGTGCATCTGGGTGGTATATGTGAGGGGAAGGGTGGTCACTGTGTATGCAACCTAGGCTGCTTTCTCATGCCGAATCCTACTGAAGAGATGAAATTCTCTCTTGCTCTATCCCTAACTCGTATATACTAACATATTCCCTAAAACACACACACTACACAAACACAAACACACACACACACAGAGGGGTGTGTATATATACGTTTGTACATGTATGTGTAGTGTGACCTAAGTGTAAGTAGAAGTAGCAAGACGGTACGTACCTGAAATCTTGCATGTGTATGAGACAGGAAAAAGACACCAGCAATCCTACCATCATGTAAAACAATTACAGGCTTTCGTTTTACACTCACTTGGCAGGACGGTAGTACCTCCCTGGGCGGTTGCTGTCTACCAACCTACTACCTAGGATATATATACATGCATATATATATATATATATATATATATATATATATATATATATATATATATATATATATATATATATATATATATATATATATATATATAATATATATATAATAATAATTCAACACACCGGCCGTATCCCACCGAGGCGGGGTGGCCCAAAAGGAAAAACAAAAGTTTCTCCTTTTACATTTAGTAATATACACAGGAGAAAGGGTTAGAAGCCCCTTGCTCCTGGCATTTTAGTGGCGTCTTAAAACACGCATGGCTTACGGAGGAAGAATTCTGTTCCACTTCCCCATGGAGATAAGTGGAAATAAACAAGAACCACAACTAGAAAGAAAATAGAAGAAAACCCAGAGGGGTATGTATGTGTATATATGCTTGTACATGTATGTGTAGTGTGACCTAAGTGTAAGTAGAAGTAGCAAGATGTACCTGAAACCTTGCATGTTTATGAGACAGAAAAATGGACACCAGCAATCCTACCATCATGCAAAACAATTACAGGCTTTCGTTTTACAATCAATTGGCAGGACGGTAGTACCTCCCTGGGTGGTTGTCTACCAGCCTACTACCTAACACACACACACACACACACACACACACACACACACACACACACACACACACACACACACACACTCACACTCACACTCACACTCAGGACAGTCACGTACGTACGCACAAAATACGCTCATACAACGCACGCATTCACTATGTGTACACGCACTGATTTTGAATTTAAAGACATTTGCTTTTGCCTGGGTAGTAAAAATGGAATGGAAAAAGAGTGGTGGGTGGCTTGAAGGAGCCTAATTCTAGCCAGGATACGGCGATCAGCGAGGCTTTCAATCTGGAGTCCATTCTTATGGTAATGTGGTATGGTTTTTACTGGGCTGCAGGAAGGAGAGTTTTGCCTGAGCCACGAGTCACCTGGATGGATATTGGCAGTGGCAGCCATATTTCTGCACCACTACAAACTTTTACACCACTTAACCTTCCACCTTATGGTTTCCCTTCTTTACGATTATTTTTTAGTCAGTTTTTAAACCGTGGCTCCATATAAGTTTCATTTTTGTTGTGTTGTGAATTGCAGCATGTTTACTGGGCAGCTTTCTTTACATGTTTGTATTTTTAGTGCCAGTAAATTACCAAGAGTGTTCATGTACTGTTAGAGCTGTGGCTTTGTGAGGCTCTCCTAGTTACTGCAACTCTCTTGTGTGGTAGCCTGTTGTGTGGTAGCCTGTTGTGTGGTAGCCTGTTGTGGGAGAGCCTGTTGTGTGTTAGTTTGTGTGGTAGCCTGTTGTATGGTAATCTCCTGTGGGGGGGTAACCCGTTAATTATAGGAGCACCTTCCCCACCACCGGAACCTGGTTCTTCTTTTAGTACATTAGTGTCCTACTGAACAGTGGCAAAGACATTTCGTTGTCTAAAATTATGCGTCTGCCCACCCTTCTCTCTTCTGCTTGATACTGTCCTCCCAAGAGTGTTTGTGGAGGGCAGTAATAGGGAGTGTTGTAGACCTGAGTAGTGTAGTGTTGTAGAGGGGAGTAGTGTAGTGTGTTGTAATGTGGAGTTAACATGTTAGCATGAATCTTACAGGCTCCCCAGTCCACCAACATGGCATGTATCTTGCACGCTCCACAGCCAGCTAAATTAATTAGCATGTATTTTACAGGCTCCCAGTCATCTAACAGTGTTTATCTTACAGCCTCCTTAGTGGGAAATGTTTCCGTAATCTATGTCTGGATCAGTGTATGTTACAAGTGGAAGGTCACGTGTATGTACTTAGTGGAGTTAAGTGTTATTTTAAGCAATCAGAATCTTGAAAATTAGTTAGATAATTTTTATTTATGGTCTTCTTGTAATAAGAGGTTAAATAAATCACATAACTGGTAGGTTTTGAACCTATGGCAGGCGAGTTCTAAAACTCACAAGCCAGTATGTTAACCACTGGATCAGTTGGTTCTGTGAGTTTTAGGACTAACCTGTTAATGTTATCTAGTATGGGTATAGCAGTAGGTGTAGTGCAGTGTTTCTCTGTTCTTATGGTAATGTGTCATTAATGGTGATGTGTGGTATCCTCACCCTTGCTACTCCCCACCTCAGCACATACTAACTTCTCTCTGTCACTAACCTGTCATGTTTTGTCTCCCCCACAGATACCAGTCTTCGTGAGTACCCCCGTGTTGGCAGGGCAGGGTAGGACTAGACGCTGGTTCCGTGCACCCACCCACCTACCAACCTACCTACCCACCCATTTTCCCACCTGGCATCTACCTTAGTCACCTCTGCTGCTGCATGTTACTCTTAGTTCTTTCCACCTTGTACACACTAGCCTCTATGACTGCTTGCTTAATTTAGTCCTTGTACACACTAGCCTCTACGACTACTTGCTTAACTTGGTCCTTGTACACACTAGCTTCTTTGACCGCTTGCTTAACATGGTGTATTGATACAGCTAGCTAGCTCGCTCGCTCTCGGCTCCCCTCTCTCTCTTTGTCTCTATCTCACACACATATACTAGTAGGATAAGCCATGTAACAGTCTAGAGATGATCACAGCAGTGTAATACTGTGTTGTCGTTTGTTATAAACTGTATGCTTCGTACAACACACTGTAAACATACAGTGATACACTAAGGAGACATACACTAAGAATATATACACCAAGGTGACATGCACTGGAGAAAAACTACACCATGGTGTCATGCACTGAGAAAACTACACCAAGGTGACATGCACTGAGAAAACTACACCATGGTGTCATGCACTGAGAAAACTACACCAAGGTGACATGCACTGAGAAAACTACACCAAGGTGACATGCACTGAGAAAACTACACCATGGTGTCATGCACTGAGAAAACTACACCAAGGCGACATGCACTGAGAAAACTACACCAAGGTGACATGCACTGAGAAAAACTACACCATGGTGTCATGCACTGAGAAAACTACACCAAGGTGACATGCACTGAGAAAACTACACCATGGTGTCATGCACTGAGAAAACTACACCAAGGTGACATGCACTGAGAAAACTACACCATGGTGTCATGCACTGAGAAAACTACACCAAGGCGACATGCACTGAGAAAACTACACCAAGGTGGCATGTACTGAGAATAAATACACCAAGGTGACATGTACTGAGAATAAATACACCAAGGTGACATGTACTGAGAATAAATACACCAAGGTGACATGTACTGAGAATAAATACACCAAGGTGACATGTACTGAGAATAAATACACCAAGGTGACATGTACTGAGAATAAATACACCAAGGTGACATGTACTGAGAATAAATACACCAAGGTGACATGCACTGAGAATAAATACACCAAGGTGACATGTACTGAGAATAAATACACCAAGGTGACATGTACTGGAATAAATACACCAAGGTGACATGTACTGAGAATAAATACACCAAGGTGACATGTACTGAGAATAAATACACCAAGGTGACATGTACTGAGAATAAATACACCAAGGTGACATGTACTGAGAATAAATACACCAAGGTGACATGTACTGAGAATAAATACCAAGGTGACATGTACTGAGAATAAATACACCAAGGTGACATGCACTGAGAATAAATACACCAAGGTGACATGCACTGAGAATAAATACACCAAGGTGACATGCACTGAGAATAAATACACCAGGGTGACATGTACTGAGAAAACGTACACCAAGGTGACATGCACTGAGAATAAATACACCAAGGTGACATGTACTGAGAATGCATACACCAAGGTGACATGCACTGAGAATACATACACCAAGGTGAGATACACTGAGAATACTTACACCAAGGTGACGTGCACTGAGAATACATACACCAAGGTGACATGCACTGAGAATACATACACCAATGTTGCATACACTGAGAATACATACACCAGTGTGACATGCACTAAGAATACATACACCTAGGTGACATAAACTGAGAAATACACCAAGGGGACATTCACTGAGAATGCATACACCAAGGTGACATACACTGAGAATGCATTCACCAAGGTGACATACACTGAGAATACATACACCTAGGTGACATACACTGAGAATACATACACCTAGGTGACATGCACTGAGAATACATACACCAAGGTGACTTGCACTGAGAATACATACACCAAGGTGACATGGACTGAGAATACATACACCAATGTTGCATACACTGAGAATACATACACCAAGGTGACATACACTGAGAATACATACACCTAGGTGACATAAACTGAGAATACATACACCAAGGTGACATGCACTGAGAATACATACACCAATGTTGCATACACTGAGAATACATACACCAAGGTGACATACACTTAGAATACATACACCTAGGTGACATAAACTGAGAATACATACACCGAGGAGACATTCACTGAGAATACATACGCCTAGGTGACATACACTGATAATACATACACCTAGGTGACATACACTGAGAATACATACACCTAGGTGACATACACCTGCCTCGTATGGGCCAGTAGGCCTTCTGCAGTGTTCCTACATTCTTATGTAATACATACACCTAGGTGACATGCCCTGAGAATACATACACCAAGGTGACATACACTGAGAATACATACTCCTAGGTGACATGCACTGAGAATACATGCACCAAGGTGACATACACTGAGAATACATACGCCTAGAAGACATACACTGAGAATACATACACCAAGGTGACATACACTGAGAATACATACACCAGTGTGACATACACTGAGAATACATACACCAAGGGGACATTCACTGAGAATACATTACACCAAGGTGACATACACTGAGAAAACATACACCTAGGAGACATACACTGAGAATGCATACACCAAGGTGATATGCACTGAGAATACATACACCAAGGTATCATACACTAAGAAAACATACACCAAGGTGACATGCACTGAGAATACATATACCAAGGTGACATACACTAAGAATACATACACCAAGGTGACATGCACTGAGAATACATACACCAAGGTGACATGCACTGAGAATACATACACCAATGTTGCATACACTGAAAATACATGCACCAAGGTGACATACTCTGAGAATACATACACCAATGTGACATACACTGAGAATACATACACCAAAGGGACATTCACTAAGAATGCATACACCAAGGTGACATACACTGAGAATACATACCCTAGGTGACATACACTGAGAATGCATCACCTAGGTGACACACTGGAATACATACACTAGGTGACATGCACTGAGAATACATACACCAGGTGACTTGCACTGAGATACATTAACCAAGGTGACATGCACTGAGAATACATATACAGTGTTTAGTACACTGAGGATACATACACCATGGTGACAGTACTCTGGATACATACACTAGGTGACATAACTGAGAATACGTCACCTAGTGTCAAAACTAGAATACATACACCAAGGTGACATGCACTGGAGAATGCATACACCAAGTGTACATGCACTGAGAATACTACACCAATGTTGCATACCGAGAATACATTCACCTAGGTGACATAAAACTGAGAATACGTACACCTAGGTGACATAAACTTAGAATACATACACCAAGGTGACATGCACTGAGAATGCATACACCAAGGTGACATACTCTGAGAATACATACACCAATGTGACATACACTGAGAATACATACACCTAGGTGACATAAACTGAGAATACATACACCAGTGTTACATACACTGAGAATACATACACCTAGGTGACATAAACTGAGAATACATACACCAGTGTTACATACACTGAGAATACATACACCAGTGTTACATACACTGAGAATACATACACCTAGGTGACATGCACTGTGAATACATACACCAAGGTGACATACACTGAGAATACATACACCAACGTGACATACAGTGTTGATTGCAGGTCTGTACCAAGATACCCTTGTGTTGCAGTGTCTGACAGATTGAACATTAAAATGGTATAAAATACCGACAGGTTGTTAGGTAAGACACATATGCAACAGTTAGGTATCTTTATTATGAAACGTTTCGCCTACACAGTAGGCTTCTTCAGTCAAGTACAGAAAAGTTGATAGAAGCAGAAGATACTTGAAGACGATGTAATCAGTCCATCACCCTTAAAGTTTTGAGGTGGTCAGTCCCTCAGTCTGGAGAAGAGCATTGTTCCATAGTATGAAACAATAGGGAGATGAAGTGACAGAATGGAGCTTTTTTAGCGCCAAGAGGTGAGACGTAGGCCACTAGGAGAGGTAAGAAAAATCAGATGTTGAAAGGTCAGGTCCCTCTCAAATCCAGCCGCTCTCACTAGTGGAAGTTGTCGAAGTTGATTGCAGGTCTGTACCTGCATATTGTTTCATACTATGGAACAATGCTCTTCTCCAGACTGAGGGACTGACCACCTCAAAACTTTAAGGGTGATGGACTGATTACATCGTCTTCAAGTATCTTCTGCTTCTATCAATTTTCTGTACTTGACTGAAGAAGCCTACTGTGTAGGCGAAACGTTTCATAATAAAGATACCTAACTGTTGCATATGTGTCTTACCTAACAACCTGTCGGTATTTTATACCATTTTAATGTTCAATCTGTCAGACACTGCAACACAAGGGTATCTTGGTACAGACCTGCAATCAACTTCGACAACTTCCACTAGTGAGAGCGGCTGGATTTGAGAGGGACCTGACCTTTCAACATCTGAGTTCTTACCTCTCCTAGTGGCCTACGTCTCACCTCTTGGCGCTATAAAAAGCTCCATTCTGTCACTTCATCTCCCCTAAATTTTTTCATACTATGGAACAATGCTCTTCTCCAGACCCGAGGGGACTGACCACCTCAAAACTTTAAGGGTGATGGACTGATTACATCGTCTTCAAGTTTTCTTCTGCTTCTATCAACTTTTCTGTACTTGACTGAAGAAGCCTACTGTGTAGGCAAACGTTTTATAATAAAGATACCTAACTGTTGCATATGTGTCTTACCTAACAACCTTCGGTATTTTATACCATTTTTAAAGTTCAATCTGTCAGGGCACTGCAACACAAGGGTATCTTGGTACAGACCTGCAATCAACTTCGACAACTTCCACTAGTGAGAGCGGCTGGATTTGAGAGGGGCCGACCTTTCAACATCTGAGTTTTTAAACCTCTCCTAGTGGCCTACGTCTCACCTCTTGGCGCTATAAAAAA